GGGGGGGGGGGGGGGTGCTTTTTGTCACTTTTTGAATCAAAGGGCTGCTGAAACCACGCAGGGGTAAGAGTCCTGAAGCAAACTCCAGAGACCACAAAGAAGCCAGAGACAGAGTTCAATGGAATGATCATCACTAGTGACTTTGTACAACTGAAGGCACAGAAAAATATGGGTATGAAATCAGGTATGTAGTCATAATGGTCCAGAGAAGCAAGGTTTTTGGTTTTTTTTATATGAGAAGGTATAAATAAAGCCACACACACACACACACACACACACACACACATATGATAATTACTCGATCAGAAGATGAGGGGTTTTTCACCCTCATTTAACATGGGGAAAAGCCCTTTGCCTTACAATTGAGTATCAGGCAGTAGGGAGCAGCTAGCTCTGGGTTGGGGCCCAGAGCCGAAGCTGCTGCCTGCCCTCCGCTGCCTCTGCAACCCCCCCCCACAATGCTCCCTCATAGCCCCAAACCCCTACTGCCCTCAGTCTCCTCACTTTGTTTCTCCCCCCTGCCACACTTCTTACTTTTGATCTGTGCCAGCAGGCTCCGTCCTCATCCTCACTGCAGTCTAGAGCATGGCACATACTCCGGCCCAGCCCAGTAGCAGCAGTGCTGGCTCTGTGCTGCTCTACAGGGTGGGCTGAGCCGTGCTCAGTGCCCCAAGCTGCAGCAGAGACAGAGCCTGCCAGCATGGAGCAAAGATAAGAGGAAGAATTAATTTAAGATGATCCTCCAATAATTAGATTTCATAATGGAAATGTGCAATAAATAAATAAAGTTACATGCATGTAAAATTACAATAAATTTATAATTTTTCTGTGTATAGAACCTAATTATTGGGGGGGGGGTCATTTTGTATTTGGGTAAATCCAGTACATATCTTTTATCAGACCAACTGTAGGGCTGGGAGAGAAATGTGACCTGAAGAAGGGTGCTTTGTTCTCCTCTCCCAGCAGCTGATCCAGTAAAAGATATGGCATGCAAATCAGCCAGTTGATGGGTTCCCAACTACCAATAAGAAAAGCAAGGAAGTCTTAGCCAGCTTCCCAGGAAAGCAACTGCAGTGGAAAAGGTAGGGATATAATGTGCAACTAAGGGTCAACTCCTATGTAAATTGTGGTTAGCATGCATCAGTCCGTATTTTGCATGCACATCCTGCACATACCACTGTTAGCAGAGAAGAGGTCTCCTCTAGCAGGATGGAGACTATACAACAATCCAAGTGCTAAGTTCTCTCCACCCTCTGTCCTCACTTCATGCAACTACATACAAAACCCTGGCACAAGACAATCTATGGTGTGTAACAATTTTACCTGGTCCTGGAGTTTTTGAAACATTAGAGGATGAGGCGTCTCCAATATTGTCTCATTCAAACGGGACTGTCCTTCAACATTGACTTGGGAGGAAGCTTTACTGGACAGGAAAGTCATGTAAATTTCTTTAGCTTTTTCTTGCATCTGTAAAATGACATATGTGGTTAAATTAATATTTGCTCCTGAAATATATATCTAAGCCAAGTCCATCTCTGAGACATGTAATGGGCCAATTCCTGTACTATGGGCACCATCTCATAAATGATATACAGTCAAAAGAAAGACAGCATGTAGCAGGTTAGTCATTTTATTTGTTCTTGAGATTTTCAAGGAGGCTAATGGAGTCAGTCACCAGATCCTATGTGGGCACCGAACCACAACAGGTTCATTGAATAGCCCAGCTTCTGCCTTCTGTTTAGCATTCGTTCAGTTTAGGTACAGATTTATTTTTCTCCCATACAGAGATGGGGATTTTGTCTCCCAATTTATACTGTTAAAATTAACAAGCAAAGCAGCCGAGCAAAAATTAAGAGAGGCACTTTCTTCTGAGGGCATTCTACATCTAGCAGTGATATGCACATCATTTAGTTCATGTTGGAAGAAAGGCCCAATTCTCTGACATGCTGAGCAGTCATTGACTGCAATGGGAGCTGACGGTGGTCAGTTGTGATGGGTTAGGTGTGGTAAGCTTGAGATAATTTATCTGGACCCATTATCTCTAACTGCAGATGTTCTGTTTCAGTCACCTTCTCTTCATAAATCACCAACAGCAGCAATAACACTAAGCGCTCATGCAGCGTTGTTCCAACTTCAAAGCCCTTTAACTACCATTGCTTCCACTGAGATCAAATGCAAGACTCCCAGGGTGTCTCTACAGCCCGCTCTAGGGTGGAGAGTGGGGATGGACAGACGCTTTAATTAGAGCGACTCTGAGAGCTGTTCTAATTAAAGCATCCTCAGCATCACATGTACTCAGCATTCCTGCACTTCAAAATGGTGGAGGTGGCACTTTAAAGCTCATTCAATGAGCTTTAGTTAAAGCGCCCCTGCTGCCATTTTGAAATATAGGAATGCTGAATACACGTGATGCGGAGACTGCTGGAGTGTGCTAATTAGTAGTGCTAATTAACTGAGTCTGTTCCAATGCATGCTAATTAGCACATGTCAGAGAGGAGCTCCATCACATGTATAGGTGCCCCCAGTGACTCGGAAGTCAGGTAAGGGAAGAATGAGCACAGCATGACAATATATTTTTAAAGCCATTTTAATTATAAATTTCATCCTGGAATTTTTAATTTTTCATACTTCAAGCAAGTGCACACCAGGAGACACTGAAAGATAATTAGCTCTGAGTAACAGAACTATTCTATGTTGCATATTTAACGAGGAACAAAACTGACAGAACCACAAGTCAAAGGATTACATCTTTGATAGGAAGTGGGACTGAAGAGAGATGCTCTTGTGACCATCAAGAAATCACGCAGGCACTTTCATGTTTGACATTTCAGAATAGGCAGGCAAGGTTCTTCGTGTAGATGTGATATCTTTTATTAGACCAACTAAATAGAAGGAAAAAGTTTTGCAAACTTTCCAGCACAAACACCCTTCCTCAATTAGATCACCCAGGCCAACTATGACTAGAAAAGTTACACTAGCATAAATATTAGGCTGTGCAAAGCTTCAGTTGCTGATTTGATTTAACGGAGATTCAGCCCGATTCGGCAGACGAATCTCCAAATCAGGAGACTCTTTAATTTCTCCAAATCGAATCAGAACCCTCCAAATTGATTCAGACATAGACAGCTTTAAGTGTCTCTTACATACCTCAAAGTACCAGGTGGCTCATGAACACTGAGATGGTGGGTCAGATGGAGTGTCCCACGGGACTGGTAACTGTTGGGTCTGGGGGGGCACCTGGGGTCCCCCCACAGCCAACTGCTGAGCCAGGAGAGCACAGGGGGGCCCCCAGTGCACTCCCTGGCAGACCCAGCAGTGGACCGGAACTACTTCAGGTCCACTTCCAGGTCCACTGCCAAGCACGCGGGGGGCCCCCTGCATGCCTGTGGGATGCCCCATCTGCCCCACTATCTCAGCATTCACGAGCCGCCTTGTACCTCGAGGTACGCAGAAAAAATATTTAAAGAGGTGTCTTTGGTCGAATCACCGATTCTCTGAATCAGCATCGAATCTTCATATTCGGATTCGGCCGAATCGAATTGGGACAGTGATCCCAATCAACGAATCGAATCATGGTCCCCTGATTGGGGCCAAATCCAAATAGACTACAACCCACTTCACACCCCCCTAATAAATATTGGGGTAGACATAATTATATCATTATACAGGTAGGCTACCACTCTACCTAATTTCAGTTTCTGAACTAGAATAAACCCTCCTGGTAAAAGAATTCTTATACCAGTCAGTATAGCTTTGTCCAAACTATAGGGGAAGGGAATATGTCACGTCAACAATACCAGAAGTTGCCTTCAGAGACCTGCAAAAAATAATCCAGGGATGAGCAGGAAGGAAAGAAGCAACGTCAGTGATTGAGTAGACAGCACTCTTTTTTTTTCTGTGTCAGCACTGAACCAATACCTGAGCATCATGATAAAGGAGACAATATGATTGCATAGGTTGTCTTAAAGACTTAAAACCAAGATCTTACTCGCAGGTGGTCAGTAAAAAATCTAACAGCACTTTTCACTAGCAGATGTATGTTAGACCCCAGACCTCTGGCTAGGTTCCAGTTTGGATATAATAGAGTTTTGTCTACAGAAATCTCCCTCACTGTTTCACTTGGACACGCTATCTTCTTCATTTCCTTTCCTATGGTCAAATTCAGTTCTCAAGCATATGTGTTCCCAGGTGAGGAGAATAGGAGTCCCAGATGCTCAGCAGATGCCAAACTTCGGTGGTTAACAATTATGCATGCTGTATTGCTAAGCTCGGTTTGTAACTATTGTCACATTTTACACTTGAGGTGACAGCAGAAATACCTGAATACTGTACACAAAATCTGTGCTGTGGAATGAAGGTGCTATAAAAGTACAGTCCAGAGAGGTGATTTTTTTTACTGAAATACTGCTAAATGTTTCTAGTGGTTGAAAAGGATCACACATTGATGGACAGTTATTATTTCCTATCTGTGTTTATTTTGGAAGGAAAGGAATATTTTAACATTGTGAGGCAACACAAAGTGACATACTGGGCACGTCTACACATGCATTTAATGGGCCTGAATTTTCTACACAGAACATTCAGGCTCTTTAAAGTGCTCCCTGGTATGCATCTACACATGCACCCCCATCAGGAGCAATCTGAGCCTGTCAGGAGCAGCCAAGTCCAAGGCGGCTCCTGCCCTGCTCTTCCCCCTCTGCATGGGGAGCCATGGGGAGCTCCAGGTTCCCCTAGGTACCAACCCTGGGCTGGCAGAGGGAATGGGGGCTTAACCCTGAGCTCTAGGGGGAGGTGGGGGGGCACACTGTCCAGGATCCACCCCCCTCCCCCACCGCCATTTCCATGTGGCTGGGAGAGCTGCCTAGGCTGACTGGGAGCAATTTGCTTGCAGTCAGCATCTACACACATGGTATGGCACATTAGTAAATGTGCCATTTTTCTAGTACCTGTATCTACAGGTACTAGAAAACAGCATTAGACTAATATACAGTGCGCTACTTGCTGCGCATGTCTAGACAATGATGCTTTACTGCGCATTAGGCTAGTCTAATGCGCAGTTAGGCATCTCATGTAGACGCAATCACTGTTTACTTACTTTAAAAGCATATAAAAAGCAAATGCCCACAGCTAATTCTAATAAAATGTTCAAGACTATGTTTAACTCAAAAAAGATCTAATTAAGTAAGAATCATAATTCTGAGGACCATATGGGTGACAGCAGAGCTGACTACTACAAATATAAAACTGATATAATTTCCTTTGAGACCCACTAAAAGTCATACTTGGTTCATACATTTGCTCACTTTGTTTTTACCTTAAGTTTTAGAGGTTGATCATAAAAAAAATACTTTCTGTACTATTTAACCTATTGGGGTCAAAGGGAACGAGAAGCTTCCTAGTTTAAGGAGATACTTAAAGTTTTATTTTGCAAAATGTCTACGGTACTAGGAGAGGTGTAGTAGACTACTGCTAGGGCTTGTTGTTTTTGGCTTCTTGAACCTGTTGAGTAGTGTGGAAGCTGGCTGCTGAAAATGCTGATAATCATACCCAAGAATACTACTTAGCACTTATATAGTACTTCCTCTGAACACATAGCTTTAGCTAATTAAAAGAAGTGTGACTGTAAAGAGACAGACTCAATGGGGAAGCTGTACCAGGAGTGAAACTGCATGAGTCTTCAGTTCAGCTACAGAGGGGACTTCCAAAGAGGTAAAGACAGCCTGTCCTTATGGTTGCACCTCTGCTTATTAGTGACTGAGCACCACTGACATAACTAGGGAGGGGCAACTGGGGCAAGTGCCCTGGTTGCTTGCTTGGGAGGTAGACAAAAATAATAGCTGCTGCTGGGAGCTGCATGACTGCAATTGTGATCACACTGGATGCAACGTGGCAACTGGAAAATCGCTGCTGCCCCATGCCAGGTGCCCAGCTGCGTCGTTACACTGCTGCCAGGAACAGGAACATTTTAGAGCATTTTACATACACAGAAATTGTCATCCTGACACTATGCAGGCCTCATGAAAACCAAGCAATATACTACTGGTAACACAAGAGGCCATAATCATAAGTATCACGAAACTGTGATGTATTGTTTGTTTGCTATAAACTACATGTGGTACTGTTCCTTTACATGCTGTAACTTTGTGAGCTTCCTCAGGCAGCATTTTGCCTTCTGTCTAGGTCCTGCTCAGAACAATAAAGTAACCAGCCATGTTTGCTGTACGGTACTTCTCTTCCCTGTGCTAGATATAACAGAAGCATGCCAGTGCTAGCTGCAAAAAAGGACTAAACCCACTTGGGCCCATATACAATGCTGGAATAGTTTAAATAAAACAACGCAAGATTATGAGGATCCAGGATTTTGTAAAGGAGGCACAGGAGCAGCAACTCGAGCTGCAGAGGTGGTACCCCCACAGCCTAGCAGAGAACACTTGGGGCAATGGAGCAGGGAGGAGGAATCTGACTGCTGCTGCCACTGTCCCCAGCTGAGCTCTCTTTGGCTGGAGTAGTTCAGGAGTGGCTCTAGAGCCTCCCTTACCCCTGGGTCAGCTGAGGGCAGCAGTAACAGTAAGGCTGATCACTTCCTCAAATGTGGCTTGGATTCCTTGGTCCACAGGGGAGGCCATACCGGACAACAATTACGTGACCGAAAGCTCAGATACAATTTTTAGTTCTGTTGTTAAATCCAGTTCAGAATTTAAGCATCCTATCAATGCAGTTACAATGAAAAGAGGATTATAAAAGCTGTATTCGGAATATGGTCCTTTGTTAGCACCGCAGACAAATTAACTACGTCACCATCGTATTACAGAGAATTGCTGCAGAGGTCATTTTCAGGAGTTCCATGCTATTATAAGAACTGTAGAAAATGATTTTCCATTTTTAACATTCCTGTTTAATCCTGTAGAAAACTCTAAAATAAAGCCATGCAAAAGTCAGAGCTGTAAAAGCTTCTTGCAAATCCATAATGTATTGTGAAGTATATGCTGTTCTGCTAGTTTCCTAAAGCTTTGCTAGTATTAGACTATTGACTGAATATAGTACCTAATGATTAGTACTAAAAAATTGAAGCTAAATGGAAACCAGTTAATCACTGTCCATTCAGCATGGCAATCCATCTGAGGAATCATTGCATCAGTACCTTTACACATGTTCATCATTTCCTGTATATGGGTACACAATCCCAAAATAGCAATGTAAAGGTAAAAGTACTCTGATTACAGTATTTAATAAAGGACAAGGGAGTTATTATTACACAGTGAAATATGAAATCCTACATGAGAACTTCTCATTTCCAATTCCATTTTAGAATCCAATGTGGTACCTGTTTAAGAAACAGAATGTCCTAGCTCCTGGGAATGGCCACTGTAATCTATCCAGGCACATCTGGCCTACATGAAGCAAAAGATGCTTCCCATTTGGTAACCAGCTCTAATACCAAATCCACATCCCTCAGTGCAGAAACCAAATGCTCTTGAAAGAGGAGGAAGACAGTAAGCATTTCTTGACACCACACTCTACTTTTTAACACATAGTAGTAGCCAGATGGTATTGTGCACAGTAGTACTCTGTGGGTGCTGACAGACATGCAGCTCCCCAGTCTAACTCGTGGCACTTCACAGAAAGCACCATGAGTTAGACCAATCCTCCCGACCCAGACATTAGCTGTTGGGTCAGCAGGGTGGGGAATTAAGTTCCAATTTGGAGTTGATCCAGCCAAGGAGCTGTGTGTCTGTAGCTTCTCTCCCCTAGCCCTGCCCTCCCCTCCCAGCTCCAATGCTCTCTGCATGATGGGAGGGGGGGAGAGGGATTTGCCCAGCCTGCACTGGAGTGTGTGGGGGTGTGGATTGGAGTCCCCCCTGAGGCAGGGGGGACTCCAATCCACCCCCTGCAATGCAGGCTGCGCAAACTCCAGCCCAAGCTCCTTCTTCTCCCCTTCCCATTGTGCAGACAGCACTGGGGCAAGGCTGAGCTGCAGCAGCCCAGCTGCCAGAGCAGACACAAGTTAACAAAAGGTGCTATGCTTTGGAACACCTTCATTTGAACCCTCATATAGTGAGGGTTAATTTGTCACATGATCAGGGACCTTTAAAGCATTCTACAGCTGGGGATGGCTGCGGAGTGCTTTCAGAGGGCCAATCATGTGACAAATGTAACTTCTCTTTGCACCCTGTGTTAAAAGAGCTGAATTGTTTCCAGGACTGATTTGTAATACCAAGGGGCTAGTTTCTCTCTTGTACTGGCATCATGATAGTAAGTGAGCACCTCCCATGTATTTAAGATGCGTGTAACTACCTCTCCCTGCCCCTCTTGGAGAGGTAAAATAGCCCAGTTGGTCATTTCTGTGTTGGAGTATGTATGCATTCATGTTTGGTTGCATGGACCTTACTGGGAGGAAGCCAAGCCAAAGGACACAGAGCCCACGCAGTTCTAAGCACGCTGAGATCTAGAGCAGAACAATGAATTTCCCTCCCTTAAGATTTTTCTTCTAGAAATTCAAATACCAAATATATATACCGTGTGTGCATGCGCATGTGCATGCATGGGTGTGCTAACACCTGAAGTCATGTGTTTCTTAACTGAACTGTTTTGGATTTTGGGTAGCTGTTTTTCAGTTAAAAATCCAAAATATTAATTGAAAACAGACATTTACCACCAAAAAAAGATTATCTTATTGAAAACTGCCATTTTGACCAATAATTTTTGTCCAGCCTGCTGGACCCCACTGCTGTCTTTTTAAGTGAATGGTATAATCTAGGTCCAGCCATTGTGAAAGCTCTGTCACCAATATCCAGAGTACACCCTCTAATACTTTACGCTCCCAAAACATATGGCCAGGAGGCTAGGGATATGACTAGACCCCACTCTAATTTCCTTGTAGCCATCAGAATACTTACTACCAGTTGCACTCTATATCTGCATATCCCTCCTCCCTAAGTGCTCTGCCACCAACAAAGCCAAAATTTAGCTTTCAGGGTGCTTGTACATGTGCTGGGAGGCTGCACCAATGCACTGTAAATACAGTGCATCAGAGCAGACATGATTAATCGAGTCTGCTGGAGTGTGCTAATTAGCGTACTCCAGCCAGTCTCTGCGTCTTGCGTTTCAGCATCCCCACACTTCAAAATGGCAGTGGGAGAGCTTTAACTAAAGCTCGTTGGACAAGCTATAGATAAAAGCACCCCTGCTGCCATTTTGAAGCGCAGGGACACTGATACACAAAATGCTCCAGGCACTTTAATTAGAGAGACTTTTGGAGCCGCTCTAATTAAAGGCTCCCCCTCCCCCTCACCCCCAGAGCATATATAAAAATGCCCATAGCGTATACAGGAGAATTGTAAACGTGGGATTTCCAAAGGGGCTTAAAGAAGTTAGACACTAACGCCCATCGGCACTGAAATTCAGTAGGAATCTGGCACCCAACTCTTTGGAATTCCCTTAACCAAACTTGACGTGTCAACTGTCAAAATAGTCTCAAGAGTATCGAATAGAAATCGGCTGTGAACTCCACATCATCATCGTCCATTCCTAAAGCTGCAAGCCCTACATCCATGTGAATCCTCCAAGAGTGGGACCTATGCAGTGGAGGCAGTTTTGATCAGAACGCATCAAAAAAATCTCTCATTGAAATCTAAGTGAAATTTATAGTGCAGAAACATATCAACATGTCAACTTCAAGGAAACTTCTTAATAGGAAAGTGTCTAAGGTGAATCATTTCAAGTTTCTTGTTTCACACTGATGTCAGATAACGTAACTTCCATATGAGAACAAGCATCTCATTTCAACTCTCAATCTTTTTTAGCATTTGCATTATATGAAGTTACTGAGGTCTATATTTTCCTATATTTGTATAATACTTAATAGTACACGTATAATCGTTACAATGTTTCAACATTCAAAAACGTCTTTTTTACTTTATCAAAACAGAACCGATTCATCATTATTGAAACAAAACATTTCCGTAGCTGCAGATCACAAGTTTTTGGAATTTCAGCATGAAATTTGGTATTTTCAGTTTTTGTTTTGTTCTCATTTGGATGGGAAAAAAATGTTTTGTAACAGTAATTCTGGTTTCTAAACCGCTCTCGTTACAATGAGTTATGTATTCACTTGTTCAATATATTTACTTGCCTCTTCCTGAAATCCAGCTGAATAACTAGGTAGAAGAACTGTCAGATTCTCTTAGTCTGCTATGAGATCTTTTTTGACAGGTAAAGTTATTTTGAGGGACATACCTGTTTCTTATCTTGTGTTTTCTTAAATTCTTCACATGCTAACCAGAACAAAACGTTTTCTTCACTAAATTCTTTCTTTAAAAATTCCTGGAGAAGGAAAAACAGGCAAAATGTTAGACTTGATGTCAAATGTTTGTTTCCCTTCCTGCTTTTCCCCTATTTGGGGTTGGTATCACCTAAATGTTGCTGGAATATAAGCAAGCAATAGTGCTTTAAAATGTAACACTTTAGCTAGGCTTACCAGTAAGTTATATCAGTAGGTAATATAAAGAATACATTTATAACCACTACAGTACTCAAGCAATTTAAAAGCGTTATTCAAAAAAATACATGCACTTTTATGCAGGAAGCAAAAAGATGTTTTAATGAGCTTCACAGATTACTTTTCATTCTAGTCTACTTTCAACACAACTTTCTTTAACAACCAAAAATCTAAAAATTGAAGTGTTTCTAAATGACTGTCAGTGACAATAAATTCACTTAATATAAATTACAGCATAAGATGTATTTAAATTCCCTCGACAGTGTTTAAACAGAACACATTCATGTTTTAACACAAAAAAAGATATATTAAAATTGTGTATAAAAGCAAAAATATTTATAGTTTTGACATATACAATTTTCATCTTCCAATGTAAAAAAATAAAAACGCATAACATTATATGCTGGTATCACTACTTCTAATTTGTAAGTGTCCAATAAGTGCTAGGCAATCGAGTTGTTTCATCAATAATTTCTTCTCTATCTAAGGACTAGGTTCTGAAAATCTTTACTTAAGCAAGACTTCCTTTTTCTTATTTAGGCAAATAATCTCACCGTGTACTGGCATAAAGGGTTTGCAAGATCAAGACCTAACATGTCACCCTTACGTACATGCCGGATCTCTATGATGATCTGTATGGGCAGACTGCTGCTCCCACCTGGGGCTCAACCAACACTGAGGTCCCTGACACACATTATATTTATGCTGCAACTAACATGTTAATTGTGCCATAAATAAGCAACATGCCACCCATTCAGCCAATTTATGGCACCACCACAAAGGTATGCCACATAAAATGGAATATCTAAAATGTGGAATAAATGTGGCTCATCTGCATAGTGCAGGAATTGAATGTGTGGAACGCCCTAAGGCAGCCCTGGTCAGCTCAACAGCCCCAGTGCAGAGGCTACGTCTTACCAAGTTACTCAAGCTCCATAGCAATCAGTGGGACTCTTCACCTGAATAAAGGCAACATGCAAGAATACATGCTGCAGGATCAGGCACCAAGAATGAATGCTGCATTACATTTTTGAGAAGATCAGGCTTCTTTCTGCCCTGGTATTTAGCCCACTGTTATGTTTCCATCCTTCGACCTTCTGACATTACAACCAGAAAACAAATGGCACACAAAGGTGCAACAAATAATTATTCCTGCAACCTGAGAATGTAACTCGAAAAACTAGCAGGCAGAGGACACCCCCCAGAGAAGCCCAGAAAATGACCCTAATTCAACTATCCTGCCATCTCTGTCAGTTCACAAATCCGGTCATATAAAAATAAACACCCTCCCGCCATTGGTATGGTGCTTTTTTAATACAGATACACATAAAGCCTCAAGCACAGGTTAAAGTTTATGCAAATGCTAGGAGTCAAGATAACAACCCTAAATCGTTTAACTCCTTCTGGGTCTTCTAGGAGGTTCTCCAGTGACACAGCCCATCTGGCGGTTCCTTTTAGGGCCTGGTGGCTGCTGCTTGCGTTGGCATCATTGTCGTTTATCTCTGAAAAAGACACATACCAAAAATTAATAAGAAAAGGTTAGCACTGCATTTTTTTTCTTACCATTCATAGCACTCTTAAATTGTACCTGCTTTCCTAAAAACGGACGTAAAACCGAAAACAAACAGGGCTTCTGAAATTCAGTATCTTCTTCAAGAAATGTCAAAGTTGCTTTACAGCAACAAAACTCCAAGTGGCTACTATCATCATTTTCAATGGATCCATTTGTCTTATGGATGTGGAGCACAACTACCCAGGCCTCAGCTGTAAGAGGGCCGCATGGTGGCTTCTGGCATGGTCAAAGTCATCGGGTGTTTTAGATCATGCACGCCGATGGTGTGAAACCAGTCTTGGTAAGCCACCTTGTAGAGATTTCCTTTATAAATGAGCACACTCGGAGGTGAGTGGGGGAAGTGGACGGAGAAAGAAAAGTGATACTTTGTTTAGCAGAAGACAACCCCGAAAAATCAAGCCATGTGACTGGGAGGTCTGCTGGTGTAGTCTCCTCTAGTCTCCGAGCACGAACGCCGTTGGCTGATGGATGCATTTGATCTTAAGTCAGCTGGGGTTTTGCCTGAATGAGGAGTGCAGGATCCTGTCCAGGACTTCTCTGCTAGCCAGAGCTCTCACAGATGTTACAGAGTCTGCAGGGCAGAAAGAGCCCGCATAAATGCTGAATGCATAACTGACTGCCTTGCGCCAAGGGATGAGTTTATTAAACCACTGGCTGCCAAGGCCAGCTTTCCTGGCGACCAATTCCCGGCTTGAGAGGAGTCCAAGCACATTACTGCTGACCCGAAGAGCTTTAAATAAACACAAAGCAACTGCCTTGCTGCACACCCAAAACCCTCAGTCAAGTCTTTGGGAGCTTTAGCTGTGCAGGATGAGGCCTGAAACACTGTTTTAGATCACTGGACATTAATATGGCTTTGAGGCCGATTACACATTCTTTGTACAGCCAAAACTCTCCACTGCAATCAGTAAAACCTTTAATAAAAGTATCTGAATATATACAGATGGGCTGGAAGCTACATCTCTAAAGAGCAAGCCTGCTAGGGATGACAGGAAAGCTTTTGGGTGAAAGTGATTTTCACCTAAGTAACCCACTGAAGGGCAGCAGGATCAGTCATGAAAATACAATGAACAGGATTAGGCCTGTATTCTGTCTGCAGTTTGGCCTTTCATTCATACCAAATTGATGTGTTTGTTTTACTAAACCCTTTGTTTCACCTGAATAAGCAGTGTTCAGAAATGTGGATTCCTCAATACGTATTTGGATTCTACTCAGGGCTCTTCCTCAAGCACAGAGTCAAAAGCAGAGCAGATATCTAAAAAAAAAAAAATGCATGGCGTAGAGTAACCTTGTAAAGCCCTCAAACACCAGCAGATGGCTAGAACGATAGACGCCAGGAGCCAAAACCTGCAGAAAAGCCTACTTAGCTAAGTGCCTGTAGCCTGCTGGACGTCTATGGACAAATTTGCTTTGATAATTATCGAAAGGATGTCTTGTTCTGAAAAGATAGCAACCTCATCCACCCGCCACAAGTTGTCATTGCAGGAGTGTCCCTTTATGAGAGAAATGCAACTCTGCAAAAGGGTCAGATGAACTCCAGCTGCAGATGCCATCCCCCTATCATTGTTTAAGGGAAGGAGACCACATCTCATGTTCCAAATTAGTAAACTGTTAAGAGAAATAAGATGCAAATATTTTTAAATGACCAAACAAGTGGACCACCCACCGTGCACGCACTATAAAATACAAGTAAGCCCATGACTATGCTGTGTGTAAACTGTGTCTGTCCATTGCTTCCTATGGTCTCTCCTTAGGTTAGAACCAATTATGATCCCATTTCTACAACTTTTTCTGCATGCATGCTGCTGTCAACCTGCACATAAGAGGCTACAGAATTTGATCTCTAGACTGTAAGCTCTTCAGGCAGGGCCTGGGACTTATAATATTGTATGTATGAATAAAAAGAAGAGAGGTTTCCCCAGAGAAGACTCATGGTCTAATGGGAGTAGTATAAGAATTTAGGAATCAGAAAGTTTACGGTGCTGTAGCTCTGATGCCAAGGTAAGACCTTTTAATTTCTGTGCAACTCAGTTTCCCCTTCTAGAAAACATAACGTTGTGTAGCCTGACAAATGTTGGTAAAGCACCTCCTCAAAAGTACCTACCCAACTAACTCCCACATTGAAATCAGTATCTTTGAGGATCTAGGCCTTTGCAACCCAGGGCTGGAGTGTGCAAACACTTGTACCAAAGACTGGGCCTGGTTCCCATGTTACGTGGTTATTTGCAGCTGTGCACACGGGTGCATGATGATGTAACCACAACAAAATAGTCTTCCTTTGCACAAAGGACAGGGCAGCGGAAAATCGGACCCCTATATGTATAATTTACCAAGGAACAGATCAGAGCTGGATTCTATCTTCTTTACCCAGCCAAACTTTAAGCAACTTCTGATGGTTACTCATCATTTTTTTAAAAAGGACAGCAGAAGCACATAAATTGACAGACAAGTGGCCACCACACACGAATATATACATGTAAGAAAGAGGATGTTGAAACTTGACTGCCATGAGAATCCTAGGCTAGAGTCACGCTTTGGTTTTGCTAAGATCTCTCCAAGACTCAGACTACAGACAAATGCTCTGCCGGCCCTGCGAACGAGCAGAAAACAAAAAAGCCTTCCCCTGCCTTATCCTGCTCCTCAAGTGCTAGCAGAACTGCAAGTCTCTAGTAACACTGGCAATGCTAGATTACCCAAAATGGGCATGGAGGGGTGGGGCTGCACGCTCATACAGCTTAGACAAAAAACGGTCCAGGGAGAACAGCATCCTGCTAGGACCGGAGCACGGCTCGGGCTGCCGAGCAGAACCCCCCAGAGCTGCGGTATTAAATGACGCTAGGCTGAGTCCTGTGCTAGACTACTATCACCAGGACCAAGCTACCCAGTTTGAAGCCATCTCAAGTACAGCCACAGCAGTGTAAATATATCCTACATCAATACAGAGCTGAACCCAACAACGCTCCATTTTCAGTTGGTCTTCAGAAATGTCCGTAAGAGACACAAAAATAATCCCCCTCTTCTGCACAATTGTACAAGGCTGCACAAGGTACAAAGCAGAAAGGAGACAGGCTCTGAACATTTCTACTGATATAAGAATTACATTCGAGTTTCCTTATACAGAAATGTAATGTGTTCCCCCTACCTCAATAAACCAGCAATCACAAACATTTTTCTGATATAAGAATTGCCACCAATAGGATCAGAGCTCTCATCTTTACACACAATTGCTTAAATCCATTTGATCTAACAGGCTGTGCGCCACACAGAGAATACTTCTTTTTGTCTTTAAATGGGCAAAAGGTTTAGTGCAGACCTTGCCCAGTAAAGTTCAACTGAGCTCACAAATGTCTTGAGAAAAAAAAAAAAATCATACTTCCACTGCAGCAGAAGCTATATACAAATCTTTTGAATAAGTTATTTTTAGAACATAATGGCACAGTGTGTTTTATTATATGATTCATCCTTGCTAAACCTTATTTATCCCTCTGTTTATCATCATTTATAAGGATAATTTTATTTCCTTGGAAGCCTCGCAATAAGCTGCTCTGCAGTTTATACCTAGAAACTGTGAGCTTAATACCAATACCTGTTATCCAAACCAAATGGGATAAGCTGCTTTTTTTAAAGCAAGAGAGGAAGTTCTCTGCATCTGTTGCAAATTGACAGAAAATTATATGCACTAATACAGGAGTTACAGAAAAGCAGCCTTTTACTTCTGAACAAGTAATAGATAAAAACGTGCATTCTTCTTGCTTTGGCGCAAAACTCTCTCTTTAGCTAGACTAGGAAACAAACACGTACGTATACAAGATGCAGTTGTACAGACTTTACTAGAGCGAAATTTCCCTGACTATACAATACAATTGCTTTTATTACATGCAACAGCCAGAGGTTTATACAGAGCTAAAGATTAGGCAGTTATGGTAATTACAGCATTATATCAGGGCGGAATCCTATTCAAAATCTACTAGTCTATACACAATAATATTGCATAAATAAAAAGGCATATGCAATGTTTAAGAAGTTTCTAATTATCAGATATAACACTATCAGGGTCTAAAGCAACAGATTCACATTTTACAAATAAGCGGTTCCACTGAATCAGTAATGTCTGATTCATATATAAACAACAGCTACATGAAATTTTAGAAACCAAAATATCTAACGAGTCAAATGAAATGGTCAGAAACGGACCTTACAATCGCCTTTTATCCCCAAACATCCTGTACTCAGGCAAACTTCCTATGTCAGAGACATTCATTTGAAAGTAACAACTCATACCTTTGGGCATTATTTTAAAAGGACAGTGACAGACAGAAAAGATAGACAGAAAGACATCAAATAGTAGAAATGCATGTTCAATATTTCCAAAAATAAGGATGAGAACATGATTCAATGAATCAGGTGGGATCTTCAAGCATGCCTAAATGACTAAGAAGAAAAAGTCTTAATGACATTCGTTAAAAGCGGGTGTGCTTAAATTAGACAGACACCTAAAAGCAAAAGCACAGTGACTATCTACACATGTAAGAAGCCTTTCCTACATTGTGCTTTATGGCAACATGCAAAACAGCACAAACCCATGAACCTGAGTGAACCTTATTAAAGCAATCACCTATTTTAAACCTTTTCTTGGGTTTTTTTTTCTTCCGTTTTGCAAACTTACTAACAAAAGATCCATCACCAACTTATCAGTCACGCATGTACCTGGATACCATCTTATAATGAGCCTTTTTCTTTGTTTCCACAGTTGAAGCGAAATAGCGACACTATATTAAGAAAATCCTTTGCCAATCTTTACTTTGAATCAGGCCTGGTTCTTGCCGAACATTTGCGAATACTGGCATAGACTTCTTTTTTTTAAGTAAGTGCTCTGAGCGTATTGCATTTTCCTAGGATTACCAGAATGCCTTCCCTGTTATACTCACCAGTCTGGAACTAATAACCAACGGTTATAAAACAATGGGAAACTGTTCATTACCATGTAGCTGTAGAAGAAAAATTCCCTTACTTTCCATGTATCCAATTGTCACCCGATAAGTCCCATATACCAACTTTTTCTAGGAGTGTCTTAAAGAATCCTGTTGCTACAGAGGGTCGTCCTTTCCACACTCTGGTATTTCAATGTTATAAGCCTCAACATCCTCTTTTGAATGTCTCTAAGAACAGATGGCTACTGGAGTCCAGTTTTAACCATAAGGAAGGAAATTAAAAGGATGTTCTGCTTTTGTAGTACCTCTGGAAACATTCACTATATAACCTTTATGAAACTCTATTGAAGCCATACTCAGTTTTTCGCAGCAAGGCTTTAACATGCCTGTGCACGATTATAATCTTATTGCCCACTGCAGAAATAAAATTACTCATTAGGATCTTTCACTTGTTCTTTTTTTTAATCCTAATTCTTTCACGCAGAATGACATGATACGTTGGTTTTCCTGAGCCACTGATCCTGCTGCGCTGAAGACACTCTGCTGCGAGACGTCCTGCGGTCAGAAGCAGCTACCCTTTGAGAGTATGTCTGAAAAACGGCCTTGTAGGGTTCCCTATTTGTGATGTCTCAGCGCTTTCCAGATCAAACGTACGGCGGCAGTGTTTCTAAATGTCAGCTCTGCAAAGTCAATTTGGGATCTGAAAATCAAGCAAGGTTCCCTTTGGTTTGTGTTTCACCACCGCTAACAGGCAGTGAGAAAGGAATTAGCATTTGTCGCTGCTGTACATGGTGACAGACATCCCCTTCCTCCTAGGCACAGCTGCCGAAACGGGAAGGATTATACTGCACAAAAAGGGCAGTTTATGCATCTTGCGGCATCTGATTTAGATTAGACTCAAAGCATTGAGGCAGTCCCACATGGGCAGAGGCCATCCCTATCGGCGACACGGCAAACAGAAACATTAAAAATACGCGTGTGTCCCCCTCCCCCCAGCCGGGTTGTCCTGGAAGCCGTTAAACACGAATTTAAAAGCAAGGGCCACGCCGGCCGCAGCACCAAGTCCGTCTCGCTCAACGGGCGCAACCAGCACCGTCACCACGCGGTGACCAGGCGGCCCG